GCCTTCGTTTTCTGTCTGCTTTTTTTTTGTTTTTTTTTTTGTTGTTTTTTGTTGTTTTGTTGTTTTTTGTTGTTTTGTTTTTGTTGATATTCCCCTTCTTAACCCGTGAGCATCGCGGGGAAAGTCCTTTCGGCAGTCCGAATCCCGAGGAAAGGCTATATATAAATGCAGGAGGCAAAGAGAAAATAAGGCGCGTCAGGGCTGAATATACACATAGCTCTTTAAATTTGTACGAAGTATGTTAAAAATAAAATTATCCAAAATTTATCCATATAAAGTGTAAATAATAAGCCTACAGAGTATGTGTAACATAATGTAAATATATGTATCCTTAACGAAATGATGTTGCACGCATTAACAATAGGAAAAACTTTTGTGCAATCAATGTGTGTGTATAATGCCTACATATAGGTGTATCAAATTTCAAAATCATTTCACTTAGAGAAAATCTAGCCTATCGTGATATATAATATTAGTGCACATAGAAGATTTATTTGAAATATAGAGAAACTATTTACATAAGTCATTCAGAGATTATAAATAAGCGTTGAAATAAAATACGAGAAAAAATTAACTTTCAAAGTTTAATAATTTTGAACAAGTACAATAAACTATAACAATGAAAAAAACAAATGAAATGGTTTCCATGAAATTTCTTACAAAATCTAATTCACTTGCATATTTAAATAAGATCTTAGCGAAGTAAATTCTTATCACATTTTAAGAATTCAGTCATATAGGCATTGATGAGAAAATGTTAATTTAACGTATTTATCTAAGAATTATTTGCACACTTTTAATCTTCTCTAGTGGACGGACTTTCGAGGAATTGAGAGGAATAATAATATCGGTTAGTTAAGTTAAAATTTATTTATTATAAAAATATAGATAATGGAATGCTAGTAGCTGATAATGATAGGTGAACAATTTTTGAATTCGTTGTAAAAATTCTCTTATTATTTCACGTTATCAGATGCAAAATCAATTTGATATATATCAGTAGGCTCAAAATATTAGGTAACGGGGGGGGGAACAAATAAATACATAAACTGTTAATAATATCTGAAAAATTACGAATAAAATAAATAAAACTAATGCTGGGTATAATAGAGTAGATGTAATAGTGAAATCAGATAAAACTTACTTAAAAGTAATTTATGTATCTGTTCATGCATTTTTAAAACCATATTTACGTGTTCACGATTAGTGAATTAAAGCTAATATAAATAATAATAATAAATATTAATATTATAAAGATAAAAAGATAAAAAGTTCAAAGTAAATGAACGTAGTACAATTAGGTTGTTTTAGATAAATTGTATGTATGGGACAAAATAGGATGAGGGACGAACAATTTCTTAACACTTGAGATTGAGTACTTTTATATTTAATTTAATATTGCAAGTGTTATCAAGATGGATAAGACAGTGAACTAAAAGAGATATTAAAAAACGTCATATCTAGTATAAAGAGTGTCAGAGGAAAGTTGGTGGATAATGTGAAATTAGATTTAGAAAAAGTTGTAGGGTAAATATCGTCGATCGCGTTGACGTAAAACAATGAAAAATTGCTCCTTACGTTGTCGAGTTGATAAACATTTGATTATCAAAGATATTACAATATAAATTATTAATGTAATGTATCGTGGCCCTTAAATTTTATATTATAATACAATTATTATAAAGTAAAGGTTGAGAATTGTTTTTTTTTTCTTTGCTTGTTTGTTTGTTTGTTTGTTTGTTTTTTTTTGTTCACGGTTTTTTATGGATTTTCTTTCTGTTGTAATTTTTTTATCGTCTTGATAAAAAATACATTGGATTCTAGATTGGTTTTCTAAATCACTGAAAATTATAATTACTTAGAATATACTTTTTATATCATTGCACATTTCCGTATTTATTGAGGGGCACTTTGCTTTAACGGAGCACATCTACTATGTTTAGAGCTCATTTAAGAATATCAAATTTATAAAAGTTCTCGCATTTGCCTGGGATACCATTTTTAGCATAAAAATTTTTTTAGCAAACTTTCATCTGTAGCACCTATATACCCGATTACTTTACATATATACCTTTATGACCCACCGAAACTCGGAAATTCAAAATTTAATCACTCCTATTCACTCGAAAGATCTAAGAATTGTACTTTCTTGCATCTCTAATAGCTATAGCTAAACCTTCAGGATTTAACTGTATAATCCAATGGCTAATATCGATGTAACTACTAATCGCGGCAAATGCTACTTTCTTCAAATGATTATCTTCTACCTGTATATTGTCAAGATGTGCTGTATGCTTATGGAGAGAGAAAAACATTCATCACAAGAATTTGTACATTGGAATATCTATAAATTGATTCGCTCGATTTCAGTTTATATTACAGGATTAAAGAATACGTTTCGCATTATTATACTCGAAGGATCTTTCAAATCCCGAAAAATAATGTTGCTGCTTATGGGTTCGAATGTGCAATATGCGGATTAAGATCGATAATGTCTTTAAGGGCCAATGATACTGTACCAATGATGTATAAAAATTTCATAGAAAAGAATTTTTATCGTTACATCGCCGAAATTTACGAATATTGGATAATTTATGTATATATAGAGAAATTGTGCGATTAATTTAACGGGCAGAGTTTAATAGACAAAGTTCAATTATTCTATTAATTTACTATAATCAACAAAAGTAATTTTAATAGGGTAATTTAGAACTTTCACGTAACTTTAGTGCTTTGATTTTAGAATAAAAAAGAAAAAAACAAAGAAAGAGTAAATGTGTCGAACTCTATAATTAAAAAACAATGATTAAAGACAAAAATAAGAAAAACTTTATTATTTGCTTAATGTTTTGCGACAATAGAAAGGTCTCGCATAGTCCAGCACGTACGAACTAAAGCGAATGCGGATGTCAAGGTTATTTAAAAATTTAAGTTTTTATCAATTATTTATAGGTTATTCGTCGCAGATTTCGATTCTTAGTCGAAAAAACTAATTTATGAATTCAGTTTTCTGTTTTATTGGGGAAGCGATTTATGGTGATCAATTATAAATTTATCCGAAACTTTTGTCAATTTCAAATGATCTTTTGAACCTATTGAATCGGCTGCGTGTCAATTAATCATTTAAATGAAATTTATCAGCCTCCTTAAATCAAATGTGAACAACACAATCTCGAATTATCGCAATGATATTCCATAGATTATTCGCAAGATCTAAGCAATAAATTGACAAAGTCTGTTGCTTCACCTTTACCGCGGCTCGCACATTTCGCAATGTAACGTCTTGGTGCCACAACCATATAATTCACTTTATTAATCAACAGGCGATTAATAATTAACATAATCATGCGTATTATTATTGAAGTGAGACTCGTTTTGCACGTCTCGGGAAGGGTAACGAAGGAAAAACTTGACCATGATAAACAGTTGGGCTTTGGGTGGAAGACATTTTTCAACTTGGCCCAAGTAGAGGCACGGTTACGTCTAGCCAAAGCTGGGCTTCGACCTACATGGTGGGGCGTGATAATGAAAAAGTTGCCCTCGAGCTCGGTCATGTACGTCGGCATCATTGTGGAACGGGGCTGGGAAGGGGGTGATGGTTGGGGGGGGGGGGGGGGGGGGGGGGGGGGGGGGGGGGGGTATGATACCGGTAAGCACAGTTAGGTGTGCTCGGTGTCGATGGGAGGAGACCTGCTGTCGGAGCTCGGGAGGCATCGGCAATTCTCCGGGGTCGCGAGCCCGCGAGTGTCAAAGCTGATCGATTGGTTGACCGAGCGCGGGGGTCAGCGCCGCGGCTCGCGTGGGTGCATCCGCACCGCGGGACTACCTACCGTCCTCGCATGCCGGCGCTCAGGACGAGCGGCTTCCCCTTTCCCCGCGCCCGCGCCCTCTGGGAATCCGTCGGTCGTTTACCTCTTGCGTCCTCCTCCACCGAAAAAGCGGCCGCCCCCGTTGAGAATGAGTCTCTCGCGCGTCCAACCGCGTCGACTGACGAAGAGAGACAGAGAGAGACAGAGAGAGAGAGAGAGAGAGAGAGAGAGAGAGAGAGAGAGAGAGAGAGAGAAGTATATATATATATAAAGGACAGGCGATCGAGCGGGGTCGGGCGGCGTAAGGGGGAGTCGTCCTCATTCGCCGCGCGTTGATCGCGACCTGTTCGCTGCCGTTCTCCCGGCATATATACGCGCAAATGCACGTGTGCGTGAATCGCCTTGTACGTGTGAACGGGTGCGTGCACGCGGATACATAGGCCATTCGGGAATTACCGAACGGCAGCGCGGCAGCAGCGGTACTGCGGGAGTTCGTCGGGCTAAGATCGCGGATACTCTTCGACGGGACTACACCGCCAGTGTCTCTCAGCCACACGTTGTCTCTCGCCGACAAGAGCCTCTGTGGGCTCGCGCGGCCTTTGCGCCCGTCGTCCTTTCTCACTCTCTCTCCATAGTTTGCACCGCCCACGTATCGGAGCGCGCGCGCACGCACGACTTGCTGAGCGGGAGGGTGAGGGAGTGAGTGAGCGAACGAGCGGCGGCGGCGGCGGTGCTAGAGGTGGAGGTGGAGGTGGTGATGGTGGTGGTGGTGGTGGCGGTCGTGGTGGTGGTGGTGGTGGTGGTGGTGTCGGTAGCCGTCGTGCGACGTGCACCGGATCGCCGGCGGCAGTGCTCGAGCGCGAGCTGCGAACGTGGGAGCGAGAGTTTAAGGTTAGGTTGGGCTTCGAGCGTTGAAGCGCGGCGCTCGTCCCTGTCGTAGTCCTCGTGGTGTCGGCGTCGCGCACGATGATACGGGCCGGATAGGTGGACGCGAGCGGCGCGTCTCGGTCGTTAGAGGGTGGACGGCGGCAAGGGACGAGAACTGACTAGGAGATTGATAAAAGGAAGAGAGACAGTGGAAGAGCGAGATATATATATATATATATATATATATATATATATAGTGAGACAGGGGGACGGCGAGAGTGTGTGAGAGGAAGAGGGAGGAAGAGGGAGGGAGAGAGAGAGAGAGAGAGTGAGAGCGCACGTCGAGGAGAGAATGTAGCGAGGCTCGCCGTGGATAATCGTACAGCGATGCCAGATCTACCTGGGCGCCGTGGCCGCGGCCGCGAACGCAGCCGCCACTACTGGATGCACCTCGGTGAATCATGTCGACGCTGATCCTGCTGACGCCGTTCAGCCTGCGTCCGGCTGCGTGCACCTTCCGAGGTATGTGTAACTGTCCCAGCCAATGCGTACCCGCAGGCTACTTCGCGCACTCCTGCTCCGAAGGGCCGCCTCTGGTGAACGCCGATCGGCTACCGATCGCGCGGTCCTTAACCTCCTTTCAGCTCTAAATAGCGCCTGTGCCTCTCTTTTAGCAGGCCGTTCGCTACTCTCTCTCTCTCTCTCTCTCTCTCTCTCTCTCTCTCTCTCGCTTATTCTCACTCTCTCTCTCGCTTATTCTCACTCTCTCTTATTCTCTCTCTCACTCTCTCTTATTCTCTCTCTCTCTCTCTCTCTCTCTCTCTCTCTCTGTCCTTTAACGACAGCGCTAGCCAATGTTCTCTCCGAAAACAGGCGAAACGATTACCGTGTCGTATCCTCAATCTCATCTTCATCTCAATCCCCATCCTCTGCTCCTCCTGCTTCTCTGCTCATGTCCGACCCCCGCGCTCAACATTACCTCCTCGCCAGAGTCCAGCGCGCCACGTATACCGATGATTTTCTACTTCGATTGAGCCGAAATTCCCAACTTATTGCTTCACATCTATAATTATTTTTTATTCGGATAAATGTCAAATTTTAACTTGACGTAGGCCCGCAAAGCCTCGAATACCATCTCTAAACGACAATGTTTTACGCTCGTCAATTAATCAGCCGTAATCCATAATCCACGATCATAGCCACTCGGATTTAATATTATTATTAATTTAATAATGAATGCTTTCCATAAATAGAGATGATTGGTGCGTAATTGTAATATTAATTTCGTTGTAAAAAGTGTAATGCAACGTTTATTGGAACCACCCACCCACCTGTCGAATAACCGAAATGGCAGTTTTCAGAATAAAAGTCCACAAGCATCTCTGGTTAGGGAGAAAAGCAAAAATTGGGCACTATAATGTGAACTCGAATGAATTCGAAGGCTTAAAAATTTTATGATCCAAGAGGCGCGCGAACGTGGAGCATCCGAGAAAGACGTGCGATTCCAGCTGCGGTCTGCTGAACTCAAATTCCACGGAGTTTCTGCCATGAAATTATCGCGAAATTGGACGTTAGCCCGACAAGGCCAAACTTAAAGAATAAGCGCCAAGCGTCAAATCCACTCTACCTGGAATACGGGGCAACGGGCCATTAGGGATACGTTTGACTCGCTTGCGTATCTCGAGAAATATCTACAAGTGCAGCGGTAGGTGAGAGCCGTTGTTGTTGTTGCTAGTTTCAGTAGAAAAGTTTCGGCGTTCAGTTTCCGCCGAGCGCTCCCGCTCACCTTTTTCCGGTTTCCTTTTCACGACTAACTAATGTCACGTTCAATGAAGAAACGTGACAAAGTGGCGGGAAGGGCCTGGGGCCAGAGGATAATTGTAGTGGGTCTCGGTGAGGGGTTGGCGGTGGGGTGGGGTGGGGTGGGGTGGTGTGGGGGTGGGCAAAGGTGTCGCGAGAGTTGTGCGAGTTGCAGTTAAAACGACTGCTCGTTGGCGTTGTCCAAGTTTCTATTTGGAGAGCGAGAGAGAAAAAAAAAGGTAAACAGAGAGGGGACGACGTAACCGAGGCATTTAACTGCTTAAACTTTCGTTAGATTTGAGAGGGGCGTATAAGAGATCTTTCGTCCTTTAACCCGGCGCCTTAAATGCACAAGTGGCGTGAAAAGGGCCCGAATTAAAGCTAAAATATGTTACATTTCCACATTTAATGTAGTATAGACTAGGGACTGGAGAATTTTGTCAAACTTGGCGAATCGAATATTTTTTTTCACGAATTAGCGAGGCAATGAATTGTCAGGAATTGTGATTGATCGACCTTAGCACGGCCTCGTAATGCTTCGACGATATCTAATTGCAACGACTTCTTTTGGCAATTTATCGAACATTTTTTCGGAAGAAAGAATGCGACTGAAAAGGGCCGTCGTATTGAAAGGAAATGTCATAGATTGACAAGTGAGAAAAAATTAGTAGCGAATAGTAATGGTGAAAGATAACGTTTTATCGTCGGATTGTACTTATTCGATTTATCTATTATTTGTTGTAAGAATAAACGATAAAACAATTTAACGGTATTGCAAAATGGAAAACTGAACATGGATGATGAAAGTATTTTAAATTTCATTGAATCGCAAAATTTTCATATATTAAATTGCTGATGATATATATACATATATAAATATATGTATGAATTGTATTATTGTTTTAATTTTTATCTCAAAACTGATTAAATTTTCATAAACTGCTCACAAGTATTTTTCTTACGGGGGGGGGGGAGGAGGAAGAGGAGGAGGAGAGAAGAAAAAACAAGACAAAAAAAAAGAGAAAAAAAAAGAGAAAAAGAAATGAAAAAAAAAAAAACTCCCCTCGCGCCTTATTTTTTTTTTTTTTTTTAGTCAAATAAGTTAAATTACTGTTCCGAGTACTTAAATCTTTTAATATATTATATCTGAGGGAGGTTTTGTTTAAAACTTCACTTACATGTTTAATAAATTACTTTTTAAATTTTCGCACACGCCATTGAATGCAAATACCGTTCATTAGCACTCGAAGTATCATTTGATGGAAACTTTTTGAATTTATTATTAAATGTAATTATTATATGCTACAAATATAAAATGGTCTTCTATTCATCGCTCTATACTTAATTTTTTTTTTTATTTATTTTGAAAGCTTTTTAAAAGACGGTTTTAAAGGGAAGCCATTATGAAAACATTCTTCTGCGAATCGCAACAAAGCATATCGAAACAATATATAATTTTCTGCGTCTAACTGAATTGATAATTGGTAGGCCTCGTTCATTTTTAGAATTTTGATAATTCGAAGAGAAGAAAAGATGAACTCTTGTGACTCGCGCGGGATATCGTATTAATTTGAGCTATTTAAATAACGAAGGCAATAGAAATGTAAAAATTATTTTGTTATTTTGAAACAATGGAATTAAGTCGAAATTAGTGATACACTGTGTAGCATTTCGACACAATAGGCCTCGCAACATGTCTATTCATACTTATTTCAGTGTTTAAGGAGATAACGAAGGGTTCAAGCGTGTGCCACGTATGAATAATCAGATTTTAATGTGTCGTTGACTGGACGCAAAATGAAATAGAGGGTTCGTTGAAACTCTTTTTTTCCTTTCCGCGTCCTCGGACATACATTTTCATGTGGCTTGAAACTAACACGATTATAAATGAAGTTGTGAATGGATCGTAGCCTTTCTAATTGTACTTTTAACACGTTCGCGTAGAAAGCTTCGACTCATCCAAGTCTCTCATTGTGTTTGATTATCGCAGAGATGAATTTTTGTTGCTTGTTAAGCGAGTTCATTTGAATTATTATTGTTCGAGTCATCGATCCAATAGTTGTAAAATCGTTCGTTTTTATCGTAACCAAGAACAGAGCCAAAGACCCCCAATGTCCCTTCAATTATCTCATTAGATTGGCAAGTGCATTCGTAATACTCTCTTTAATCGAGCCAATTTCTTAACTTCCACTTACCTATCCTCATCACTTATAATACAAAAACCATTTTCCTCCAATTTCTCATTATAAAACTTATGCCCAACCGCATATAAAGATAAAAATTACATTTAATAATTTAACTCTTTCGTATATCTAACGCCCCTTATTCCTGTGATTTTTTTTTACTTCTTCGTAACGATGTGTGAGCCGTGCCGGTTTGTCTTTTTTTTCTTCTTTTTTTCATCTTTCTTTCTCCTTTTTTCGTTTGCTTTTAGTACCTTGTGACTTATTGTATTTACAGAATAACACGAGTGATCGACATGTAATGTCGGCTTTGTAATTGCTTAAGATGCGTAATTCGACACATACTGGGTATGGAAGTGCCAGAAAACTCCTGAAAACAAGCTCACGTATATCGCAATAATTGGCAAACGGTAAATGGTAAAATAAATGTTAAAGCCGCCTGATTTATGGATGAAAGGATTCTTAAAAGTTACAGAGTAAATTTGATACTTTATATTTATGCGTAGGCAATAACCGTTCAAGGTGACCACACGCGCGCGCGCGCGCGCGCGCACACACACACACACACACACACACACACACACACAGAACCCCACACAAACATGAAAAATCAAAGGAAAAGCAATTTTGGTAAGGCAGTCGCTAGCGAAGGCCGCTCGTTAAAAAGTGCAAGAAAAGTAAAGAGTCGAGAGTACGGACTGGGCGGCAAAAAATTAGTTCGAAAACAAAAGCTGCAGCTAAAAATCCCCCGTCGTCGTGAGAAATGTAGGCCTTTCTTAAGCAACGAAAATTCCGCGACGTAAATTAAGCGGAGGAGGCCGCGTCGTATTAAGTCATTATTTCATGCACGCATAAACGCATGTCTGATAATAAAGACTGGCGGGTGAATGGAAGAGGGGGGGGGGAGGAGAAAAAAATTAAAAAAAAAATAGCTGTAGAGTGCACGCACAAAGATCGGACACTGGCATATAATTAAGGGGCGCGTTAAAAAAAATGACGTATAAGAGTAAGAGAGACTAGGGGAAGGAGAAAACGGAGGGATAGAGCGGTTGGGATATTAGAGTCTGGGATGTCCCGTGTCCGGGAAATGTCCTCGAAACGCGCGCCTACGGGATAACGAGGCGACAACGCGAGTCTTTTGTCTTGGTCCAAATGCAAAGGAAAACCAAAGTAACGGGGAGCGATAGGGGCTCACCTGGTCTAATTTATCCACTTCCCTCACTCACACCCCGCCCCGCGCTTATTCGCTCGCCCCCTCATTTTCGTCTCTCCCCTTACAATTAAATGGCGCTCTTGCCAACGGGAGTAGCGTCCATCTCCGCGCTTACGTAAGTATAGGAGCGCGTCCTGGAAAAAGGAGGCATTGTGCGCGCGAGTGACCTTGGGCGGTCGCGAATTACGCGCTCGCGGGAATTTCACTCATGTTACTACATCCGCGCGCGCGCGGGCTTCCGGCGCTATTCGCGTGCGTTGTTACACGCCGCTGCCCCGGATCTCTTTCTCGTTTCCCCCTTTTTCCCTCTCCTTCTCCCGACCGCG